TGGTAATGTCTGACTTTAGTAATGATGTTAGCTAATGGTGAGTCTGGTTTTGACACTAAACCTTTTCCGGCGAAGTCGTCACAAACGACAGAGTGTTTGAAGGATATTTTTTGAAGGGGTATTTTGAAAGTTTTGACAGAATGTAGTTTGTAAGTCGTTTCATATCGTAAACTCCTGAGTATTGACGTAAGTGGTGTTTGTCAATAATTCTTTCCATCTCCTCAGAAGTCTTTTGCATTCCTGACTGTATAAATTCAACGATGGCATAATATTTCCTCTTACGTCGAATGTAACGTTGAAGAAATTCAATGAGTTCACTGTCTGGAACTTTAACGACAGAGGCTTGAACTTTTGACATAAATGTTTTCGCTGTTGAGTCCATAGAGTCTGAAGTTGCTGATATAATGATTTGGTCATAGTAAGTGTCGTTTCCTAAACGCTCTGTTATGAGTATATGACGAATGAGGTTAAATGTCTTACCTGAACCCATCTTTCCACAATAGAAATAAACACCATTTGAACAGAACTCATAGTCCTTACTGAAAGGAAGAATGAGAGAACTGTTGAGCTTTTCACTGCTTTCATTCATGTCTTCATCTACGTCATGTATTAAATGCTTCATTTTATCTCCATTAAAAATGCAAGTCAGAAATATTCAGAACATAGCACCGAGTCTAACTGACAAGAGTATAAAGATATACTATGAACATGTTATGATGAAACCAACCAAAATTCAAGAAAGTCAGTATACTTATGAATATCCAAGACACTGGGTAGAGTATGTAGGAGGTGAGAAAGCTATTGAAATCAGACAGGTTCGAAGTATTCCAGCAGGAAGAACAATATTATTGAAGAACTTTAATGTTTTGAGATATAATGATGAAACAAAGAAGCAAGATAGTTTCCCTGTTGCTGTGTATGTGAACTTAGATACAGGAGATGACATGAAAGTTTTTAATACAAAGCTTCAAACGGTAGTGAGAGAACAACTGACTGCGGAAGGGCATCCATTACCTTCAGAAGTTACCATAGCATATAATTTTGAAACAAACTCAATAGATTTTAAAGTCATCTCTGCAAAGAAGTCAGGTTTTACATTTAATGAAGCAGATGTATATTCGAATGAAAACTTCAAAGCTATTGCATGGTTAGATAATGACGATTGCTTTAAGAAAATATTTAAATTCAGTGACTCAAAGATGTCAATAGATGACCTTCGTGGAATGTTACCATCGACGTTTACAGTAGAAGGTTCAGCAGGATTGCTTACAAGATTGTCAATTGGTGGTATTTGGTCTCGTGAGAACATTGTTATAAAATCCAGTATAAGTGAATTTGCTGAAGAATCTATATTATGTCTTTCAAACTACATGTATTCGCCGCCGAAGCATTATAGTATAACAAACTTTGTCAGTAAGTTTAACATAAGACTTGTCGAACCTTCTTCAATGAAAGATGTTGTGCTACCAAAGACGGAAAGGATGGACTCATTATTGAGATGATTTTAATAGCATATTAAATGAGCTTGTTCTTGAAGGTCATTCATGATGAAATAACTGTTGTAGAAGATGTTAGCAATTGTTCAGACATTTTGAAGCGTATAGATGATATAAGAAAGAAGTTAGATAGACCGCAAAGCGGTGAGGGCGAAGCCCGTGAGAACGCTTATGTTTCATTGACTTTCTCCAGTAACGAGAACTTTTATGAGATAATATTGAAGAGAGATGATTTTAATATGGTGTAAATGGTAGCTTGGGCAGCTTTAGGCGCAATGGGAACAAAAGCATTAGCATTTGGAGCAAAAGCACTTGGAGCTTATGACGCAGTAAATAAAATGAGTGGAGGAAGGGTTTCGAAGACATTAGATGCAAATAAAGGGAAGATTGGAGGCTGGGTTGCAAAGAAGTTAAGATTAAATAAAATAGGGCTCATAAATAAAGCATCCAATTTGGTTGCGACTGAGTCAGAAAATGCTTTAGGAAAGGACGATGAGTTTGCAAAACACGCAAAAGACTTTAATGACCAGATGAAAGGTGAAACAATGCATTTAAATAGAGTCGATGGAACTAAAAAAAATGTTTCTTCTCCAGCAGCGGTTTATCCATACGGACCTTATGGAATGTATGGAAACCCTTATGAACGACCATTTGACCCATTGACTAGTGGAAGTAATTGGTATCATTATGGACGAAGAAGAAAGACAGTCAAGTTGGAGACAGACGTGAAGAAAGCAACTAAAAAGAAACCAAGGAAGAGAGTTATAAAGCAATGAATTCAACAGGGTGAAAAACCGGGTGAAAAAAGAGGTGAGATTTCACCACTTCACCTAAATTTATTTTTGTGCTATGTTTTCATACGTTGAGGGGGTGATATCATTAATTTTTAAGTTTATTTTTTATTTTATTTTTATATAAATGACGAAAACTATTGAGATAACAAACTACAACGGTCATGAGTTCAAGAACTTGTTCTTCGTTCCTCGTGAAAATACATTCTATCAGATACGAGGGAGAAAGGGTAAAGTTAGTTTGAGCGTTTATGAAGGAATGAAGAATGGAAAGTTTATACAAGCATACGATACAAACGGTAAACGTGTTTCATTAGCTTTGTCAAAACTTACTAACATTTATTTTGACAGTGACTTTGACTCTGACGATTGGAGCGACAGCAGCGATACTGAAGAATATGAAGTATTGTGTGAAGCACAGCAATGGGAGGAGTTGCAATACTTTTGTAAGTGAGAACGTTTATTTTTTACAGTAGTGAAGTCGTTTGTGAAAACGTTAGTGAGGTGAAGTGGTTGGCGGCTTTATAAATATTTAAGGTTAAGTTGGTGTTTGTGTTGTAAAATATACGTTAACGGTTTTGTAAAGTGTCAAATTCACATATAATGGGTAAGGAGGCTCGCAGTGCCTCCGTACACATTATATGTATACTAACTGAGATAAATGTTCTAGAATGTCAGGTGTTATATTTCCCTCAGCCATGTTCATTTCATACTGGTCCAAAATATTTGCATCTTTCATATCTTTCAATGGCATTAAAGCCGCGCTGAAAATACCCGTTATATCTGGTTCACCATTCACTTCCATTGCGTCTACAACTTCTTGGAATTGAGGTTGTAAGTTTATGAACCACCTATCCGGATTAGCTTTATGACCCCATTTCATTGTAGTTCCATAGTCTGCAGAAACAAAAGTAGGTTTGTTTCCATATTGGTTAGGTTCTGAATGAACTTTAAACAATGTTTCATTTCTATATGTTTTGTTGAAATTTAACCTTTTATTTTCACCGAGTTCAGCCAAAGATTGAACGTTATATGGTCGTAAGTAAAAAGGATTGTTGTATTTGCGTACACTTTCTTTCAGTTCTTCCATTCTATGCTGAATATTTTCATCTGATGTTGGAGTCTTTTGTATGTCGGTGAACATTTTTCGATATTCTTCTACTATGTCAGCCGAATTTTTTCTTAGACTCTTGGAAAGATTCCATATTCACCTCATACTCTTGTTGAGGGTCAAGATTTTTCGGCTGTTCCAAATCTTCATCTAGTTCTGTGAAGTTAGTTTCCAAAGGAGGGACTTGTTCGTTTCCTTCAGGCTCTTCTAGCTGTTGTTGCTGAACTATTTCTTCCATGTCTGGTTGTATCTGAACTTCTTCCTGTTGAGTTTCTTGTACCTCATCTGCTGGCATTTCATATATTCCGAGACCGTTTTTAACAAGTTCCCTATCTAAGTCATCCGGACTCATAAACCTTTCTTCTTTCGTTCCGTCTCTATTTTTTACGCGTTTCATGAAGAGAGTTGAATTATCATTTAGCTCTGACATCAAATATCTCGGAGTAAATTCATTCATGTCATTTGGATGATATGCTATTAAATCATATCCCTTAGCGAGCTTGTATTTTCCAGGTTTGAAATTATATCCCATTTGGTGCTGAACCATAAAGCTAAATAGGTTCGGGTCAGTATTTCCTTCCTTGAACTTTCTAATAGCTTCTTTATATCTGTCACTAAAGTCAAGAGTATCTGGGTAACCATAATCTTCCTTAAGCATTTTTAAGAATTCTTGGTTTCGTTTTTCTCTACTTCTTTTATGTCCTTGCTCTGTTTGTGGTTGTTGTTGTGCAGGGTTTTGAACTGTTGGTTTTGGTTGTTGTTGTTGTGCTGGATTTTGAACTGTTGGTTGTTGTGTTGGTTGTTGTTGTTGTGCTGGATTTTGAACTGTTGGTTGTTGTGCAGGGTTTTGAACTGTTGGTTTTGGTTGTTGTTGTTGTGCTGGATTTTGAACTGTTGGTTGTTGTGTTGGTTTTGGTGCATGCCTGTGTCTGTGTCCATGTGACGATGTAAATGTTTTAGGTAGTCCTGGTGCAGGTGCTTCTCTTGGAGGGTTTGGTGGTATATAAGTTCCACCAGCTGGCACATATGTTCCATCTGCAGCATAATGTCCTACCTGACTTTTCGTTCTTAAGAAAGCATTTACTAGGTCTGTTTTGGTCTGTTGTAACTCTTTTTCTTGACTTTCCACAACAGTTGCTCTAACGGCATCATAGGCACTTTGAACTGCCTGTCTCGTTGCTGCATCTGTTATTTTCGTCATATTTTGTGCTACTTCTCTTAACTCTTTGTCGAAACCTTCAGACTTCAGTTTCTTTCCAGATGAGAAGTCGTTCACTAGTTTCACCTTACTATGAAGAGCTTCGAAGGCATTCTTAAAGTCAGCATTCATTAAAGCTTCATTTGAACTGTCTTCATCCGCTTGTATTTTTGTCCTTATTGACCCTATAAGTTGGGCTGCTTTAGCGTTGGCTTGGGCATCTAACCAGTCATTATTAGCTTTTATATATTCTGCGCTTTTCATTGCCTTTTGCATGGCTGCGTCGTTATTTTTACTTTCTTGTGCTAAGTTTTCATACTGTACGGTTTGGTTTTGCAACTGTAAAAGTTTTTCTGCCTTTACATTTGCTTCAACTTTTTTATACTCATCGCTATCCATATATGTCTTCATGGCTTTTTGTTTTATCTCTTCATCTTTCAGTACTTTATATTGAGTAGTATGGTTTTTCAAATTTATAACATCTTGTTCCATTTTTGCTACTTCTGCTGCTTTTTCTGACACTTTTTTCGCATATTCCTCTGTACTTAGTTCTTTCAGTTGTTCTTCTTTCTTCTTTTTCTCTACGTTTAACTCATTGAGTTTCTTTGTGTGTCTGTCATATTCTAGTTTCTTTTCGTTTTCACTTATTTGTTTCTGTATGTCTATGTTTGACTTTTTGACATCTGTTATTTGATTTTTGAGTGAACTCAAATTCATTTGACTTTGAGGGTTATAAGCTGTTCCGTCTGCAGCTCCACCATAGCCTGCCATTTTCGCTAAAAGTGCCGCTCTTAAACCTCCACTCTGTGCACCAATAACTCGGTTTAAAAGCATAGGGTTGCTTGACATTTGTTGCAACATAGTGGGGTCATTCATCATTTGTTGTTGCAACTGTTGTTGTGGTGTCAGTTTTACTATTGGATGTTTCAATGCTCCCTTCCTCTTACGTATATTCTTACGTAGCTTACGTGGCATTTTAAGTGAAGTTAAAAAGCGGTTTTTGACAGATGTTTATATGACACTTTTTGTTCAGCACAAAAAACTACTCGGTCAAAGTGTTGTCAGTTTTGTAAAATAACCGTCCTATCTCATTCTATAAGGGGAAAAGGCTTCTCAAAGTATACTTCCTTGGAACGCCTGTAACTTTTCCTGTAGCGACGATAGACCCTTACTTGTCCGGACAAAGTTATACTATTTTGAGTGCTCTACAAAAAAGTCAACGGCGACGACTCTCAAAAACCGTTGTGTAAAAAGTTTTACCGTTGGACAAAAAAGTATATATAGAAAACAAAAAACGTTTATAGTTCATTCAATATTTGAGATAAACCGTTTTTCCAACGGTAACTATTAAATAAAATAAAAAAATAGAGGGGGTCTCCGTTGACGAAAACGGTTTATCTCAAACTTTTCTATGAGTGGTCCGAAAAAAACAGTTCATTTTTCATAATGGAAGGAAGAACAAGTGTCGCAAACAATTCGTCGACTACCTCTGCAGTTAAAGTTCCTACAACTTATGTCTCACCATTCTCAAAACCCTTACGACCTCCTATAATACCAAAGCAACCTCCTCATACAATTCAAGAAATTGTCCAACAATTTGAGTTCTTCTTCTTCTCAAAACACAACAGAAACATCTGAAACAGTTGTCCAAACAGCACCAGAACAAGTTTCACATAGTTTTACAATTCAAGACAAATTGTCCAACAATTTGAGTTCTTCTTCTTCTCAAAACACAACAGAAACATCTGAAACAGTTGTCCAAACAGCACCAGAACAAGTTTCACATAGTTTACAATTCAAGACAAATTGTCCAACAATTTGAGTTCTTCTTCTTCTCAAAACACAACAGAAACATCTGAAACAGATGTACAACCAATAGAACAAGATATAGTCTCTCAAACTACAAGTATGTTAACAAGAGCACAATTTCAAGATTTAATTTCTCTTGAACAATATTCGAGTAACGAAACACAAAGCGACGACTGTAACCTCTCGCTACCCGAATCCATTCAAAGAAAATACGCCATGAAAAGACTGAAATTGTTGTATAAACTTCTTAACAATTGGGGGGTCGAAGACAACTCAGATTATAGTGAAATGTTTAACAAAGTCATAGAATCTCTTAAACCAATTGAAAACGACATAAAAAATCCCGGTGTTCTTGTAGACCTTTTCGCCTCAAAATTACCAGTTACAACTAATCTAATAGCAACACAAGCTATAGAGCAATTTATTTTATGTTTTCCCAAGCAATATAGACAACACCTGAGGGAAACAAGAATAGGAAAATTTCAATTGGTGTATCCTACAACATACAACTATTACGAAGAAGCAAATGAATATGGAGAACTCTCATTCCATTTCACACTTTCAGTTCCTGAGGGAGAAGAAAAAGCAATCTATCATGTACAATCTCTTGCAGGATGTGAAGGAAAACCTCACATAGTAACTACTGTTGCAATTGACAAACCTGCAAGAGTCGAAGACGATGTTTTGTTCGCGTCCATTGCTGGTTTTGGCATGGGAGAACCAATTCCAATTTCCCATTTCACAGAATACTCAGCACAACATTTTCAAAATGTAGAATTCGTGTTCTACGACCATCAAAAGTTCCTGCTAACAAAACCAAAGAAACAATTTGTCTCAATATTTGTTGCTGGTCATGTGGCTGACAAAGAGCCATCAGATACTGATTATGAAGAAGAGGAGGAGGAAGAAGAAAACGATAGCGATGTCGTTCTTATCGAATAAAAACTTTAATTTTTTACTATATAATTTTTTTAGTTCTCCTCTAGGTTTTTTTAGGGGCTAGAGGGCACGAAGTGCCTGGAAGCCCCACCTACCTGACCTTTATTTGTTTTATTTACCAATAAGCTCTTGCGTTGCACCATTATTTTTTGTTATTTGCAATATTTATTTCTTTATTGATAAAAAAAACTACTTTTAATTGCCCAAGATCTTCGTTGTATATTTAATTACAATTAGAGAATAAAATAACAGATTTAGTCCAAACAATTTTTCATTTTTGGTACATAATCTAAATTATCTATAATAGTATAAGTACATATGAGTGCGGGACAAATTTGCCAGGTGTCACTTTTTCCATAACCTTAAATTACGCTTTTCTAATTTTTTAAAAAAATAACCTTAAATTATATTTGAAGAAATTATGTCTATGATATATGTTTTATGCTAGAATCTTGGAGTTTTCATGCACTACACAAGAGCTCCAAGGTTCCAAGAGTGAATGCTCAATAGCAATTATAGAGATGTACCTTTTCAAAATGACTTTTACTGATTAAATTTAATCAATAGAAGACATTTTGAAAAGGTACCTCTACAATTAGATATACAAGAGATTCAAAGCTTCATTTCAGATAGATTTGAAACTTTGAAACTCTTGGTAGATTTTGAGTGAATGCTGACAATCATCTTTGAGAAGGTTTTCTTTAAGAAAACCTTCTCAAAGAGGTTTCTCAGGAGCCCTGAGGCTCCCTTTCGTAATGATTGGGAGCCTTGGGGCTCCTGAGACGAAGAATAGCTTCGCCGAATCTTTGATCAGCAGAGGCCAAATGAAAAGGCCTCTGCTGATGGATTCTCAGGAGCCCTGAGGCTCCCTTTCGTAATGATTGGGAGCCTTGGGGCTCCTGAGACGAAGAATGGCTTCGCCGAATCTTTGATCAGCAGAGGCCAAATGAAAAGGCCTCTGCTGATGGATTCTCAGGAGCCCTGAGGCTCCCTTTCGTAATGATTGGGAGCCTTGGGGCTCCTGAGACGAAGAATGGCTTCGCCGAATCTTTGATCAGCAGAGGCCAAATGAAAAGGCCTCTGCTGATGGATTCTCAGGAGCCCTGAGGCTCCCTTTCGTAATGATTGGGAGCCTTGGGGCTCCTGAGACGAAGAATGGCTTCGCCGAATCTTTGATCAGCAGAGGCCAAATGAAAAGGCCTCTGCTGATGGATTCTCAGGAGCCCTGAGGCTCCCTTTCGTAATGATTGGGAGCCTTGGGGCTCCTGCAGCAGAGTATCGCTCCGCTCCATTAAATTTTTTAAAAAAAGTGCCGTGTGGCAAATTTGTCCTGTTCCCAAGTACATATTATTTCCATCAATATGAGTAACTTTCCTTGAGAAAATAGATGGATTTAATGCATATATTAAATTGAAAATTTCTCTTTGTGTCACAGAACTTGTTAATGGTATGAAAATTTAGCAATGTAGATGAAGTGCAATTTATTTCCAAGAAAAAATCAACAGACAGAAGAATGAGAAGAAATTTTTGGGCGCGTAAAGGGTTGGCGTCCTAAGGCGTCCTGATGTAAACTATTCAATTTTTGAGAAGTTTACACAATAATTGAATAGTTTATGGCGTCCTGAGAGGAGATTTCAATGGGTATGGCGTCCTAAAAAATAGAAGAAAATGATTTTTTCTCGATTTTTCTAGAAATTGAATTTTTTAAAAAAGAAAAAAATCAAAACGTATACATTCAAGAAAGACTATAAATGAAGATTTTTCTATTTTTTTTCATTCTAAAACATCTTTTTTTGGATAATTTTTTTTTAATAAATATGTAAGAAAGATTGAAGAAAAAGTAAATTTACTTTAAGAAAATTCGTTTTACATGATGTAAGACCCATAACAACTATAAATATTCAATTATTTAAAATAAAAAAAGAAAAACAGATTAAATGTATCTCACATCAAAATCCATTGACCTAAGGATGTTAAGTTTCTGTTTTTAAAAGTTGATATTTTTTTTAATTTTAAGAAAATTAATAGCATGTTATTAGAAGTGTAAGCTATATCTGTTTGTTTTTTATTATAACAAATTCAAAATTCTCTTATAAGGACTAGATGAAATCTGTATTATTAAATCATTAGCTAAATGAAGGTTCAAATAGAAAGTAAATATCAATTTATATGATACTGAAACCAAATAGTTCTTTTAATAAAAGATAACACGCTGAAAATTATTGAGTATTTGCAAATCTCAAAAATCTATTGGTGAATTTGGCTCAACTTTTAAAATTATAACATCCATATCAAATCATAAAAGCAGACAAAAATTAAAGCCAAACCTATCGGCCAATTTTTTTTGATATTTTGATTTTTGAGGTATACTTTTAAAAGTGGATTTAAAGCACTTATGAAAAAACATTAACTTCTGTCGTTATGATTATTGATTTAGACAATAATGATTTTAATCTTTGATTATCAAAACACTAAAGTCATCTTTTTAACATTTGCTTGGTAGCATTAACTCAAGTCTAAAGTACTATTTTATGTGGCACTCTTAGAATTTTTGTATTCATTGTACACGCTGAAATAGTACCTTAAAGTTATGGCGGACTTTCAAAAAATAGTTTGGTCACCTTTTCAAATTTAGATTGTTTTTTCAAATCATGCGAATTGATTGAATAATTGCATATTTTATCCCATGCATCTAGAAGTATGTGTAATATTTTTGCTTTCATCAAGAAATTGTCGAATTTGATCTTAATTTTTTTTGAAAAATATACTTTTAGAAAAAGAAATCGTGATTGAATAGCTGCCCATGCTGTAAAAGGGTTATTTTTACAAGTAAAAAAATTGTTATTTTTCGAGCAAGTCGAGGCTTTTTTACCATCTTATTTTTGAAAAATTTACGAAAAATTATATCTGAAAAAACGCTTCATTTTGATATCTTACAATGATAAAATACCAATGTTGCTGGGATATAATAGCTACACCTGGACATCTACTACATTAATGCGTATGACAGGTAAAGTTGATTTCAAAAGTATAGCCTGGAAAGATTACAATAAATCAACGATAATTCAAAAAAATTTCTTATAAGTTAACATAATAAAAATTTAATTTTTATATTGCTTGTATTATACTTAAGTATATAATATATTTAAATCTTAGAATGAAAATTCGGGACGCCCTAGCTATTCAATTTTCCCTTAGGACGCCCATAAACCTCTCAAAAATGTGATGTAAATATCACAATTTTGAGAAATTTACATCAGGACGCCTTAGGACGCCAACCCCCTTTTTTACCAAATTTTTCCGTTTTTCAATTCCCCTCAATTATAAAGAAAAATGAATTTTGGAAACACAGGGAATAAAATCGCTCCAAACGGTTCCACACCAGATATACAACCAAATTCACAATACGATCAAACAATTGCTTTCAATGACAGCGATAGCAGTGGACCAGCACCATATGTTCCAAATTACGATAGCCCAGCAGGCGCAGAAGAAGAAGATTATGATGCCCGCAGACTATTAGGTGTTGGCTCTCCTGGAGATAGGTTAAATAACTTTAGAATCGAAAATAACTTCAAAGGAGCAATGGGATTGGATAGTCCAAGTCCAAAGGGAGGACTCGGAGGATTCTCTGGTGACAGTCCTACAGGTCTTGGCGGATTCGGATTAGACAGTATGGGTAAAATCAATGGAAGTTATGGTGAATTTTCACCAAGACCATCAGGAAATGATGCAACTACATCTAATCCTGAATTAGCACAACTCTTTGGACTTATTACAAGCTTCCAACCAGAGCCAATTCCAATTCCTCCTCATTTCAAACCTTTCTTACCAGATCTTATACCAGCTATTGGAGCTATTGATGCATTTATCAAAGTTCCAAGACCAGATGATGAAGAGGAACCTCTTGGTCTTACAGTCCTCGATGAACCAACAATTGGCTGCTCAGATCCACAAATTGTTCGCATGCAGTTAAGAGAAAAGTACGGCATTGTATCTGCTCAAGAAGGTGATGGTTACATTGGCGAAATTAAGGATTTAGAGAACAATCAAAAAGCTCTCGATACTTTCTTAGAAAATTACGAAGAAATGATTCGAGATCGTCCACCTCCATCAATTGTCTACAGTTACAAGATGCCAGACTTAAACGATCTTTTGGATGTTTGGCCAGAAGATATTGAAAAGGCTCTTGAGTCGATTCCACTTCCATCTGCAGATATGGATCTTACCATTGAAGAATATGCAAAGATTATTTGCGCATTCCTCGATATTCCTGTGAAAGGAAATATCATTGAATCCCTTCATGTTTTCTTCACATTGTACATGACATTTGAAGAAAACCAACACTTCCCTGATAACATGCCAACGCGTAACTCTGTTTCCCTTCAATAATGTAGAATAAATATAAAAATTTGTGAGTTTTTTACTGACAAACTGAACAGATATCGAGATCAACTATTTTTATTACCAATTATGAGTTGCCTTGATGAATTTCAAATTTTATTTTTTTTACCAATCACCATAATTCGCAAGAAATGTACTGCTCATCTACTGTTACAAACATTTTTCTTTTAGTGATTATTTCATTTGGATATAAAAAAAAAACTATATGAGTAGCGATAAAAAAATCCTTGATCAATATGATGTTAGTGCATTATCAGATGAACAAAAAAGGTACATCTATTACGCTGATTCAGTTGGACAGGTAAAAAATGGGATTTTTTTGGAATGCGATTTTAAAGATGCAGATAAACCAGCAGTTAGCAAGTTTGGCGGTTCAGTTCCTTACTTACCAAAAGAAGTCGGTGATAATTTCATTCCAATATGCGAAGATTGCAACCAACAAATGGAAGTTTTAGGACAACTATATATTCCTGATCTTCCACCAGTAGTTCAAAGAAAGTTTCCTGTTGAATTACAAGAATCTCTCATAGTTTTATTCCTATGCGGAGACGATTTACCAATTGATTCTGAAAACATCCTCAAATGCAGAATTTACAGTAAAGAAGAAATACCTAATCTTAAGTTAGAGCCTGTGAAAACTGACAATCCATACATTCAGTCTGCAATTTTTTCAAAATATATTGTTCAGCCAGTCATTAACAGTAGCGGTTTCCCGGATATAACAAGAGAATTCCCCGACCTAGACTATTGGGAAGTACCTCAAAAACTTCGTAATACTAAAAGTTTATGTTATTTTGATGGATTTCCAGAATTTGTTCAATTCCCTGAGGAACCATCTGTCCCAGCAACATATATAATGAATTTAGAAGGTGATGATCAAACAAGTTTTACAATGATGTGGGGAGATGCTGGAACTGCTCAGCTATGGATATCCAACGACAAGCCATATACATTTTATTTAATTTGGCAATGCTGTTAAAATGTATTTTCATGAAAATTATTATATTATTTCATAAATATATGTTAATAAGCACCATTTTTAGCTTTAATAGCTATATATCAAAGAATAAAAATTCCTCCCTCTTTTGGGTTATAAAATTATTCAATGAATCAATTTTTTTATTTTTCTTCTTCTCTTTTATGAGGTCTTTGATTATGATATCATTGACACAATGATTTTAACATTCTATATTGTTATTTTTCTCACCATTCTATATATTGATGAATACAAAATACATCAATCAATTGGCAAACTCTATTAATAATTTCAAATTTTAGCTATTTTGATTTTCTGGACACGATAATATTCTGAATGTTAATAAATAAAGATATAATTTCCGATTCCTGAATTAAAACCTCAAAAAATAAGAAAAAATGATTAATAATTATGATAATAGATGTAGAATCACAAGTTTTTACTTGCCAAAGACTAAGGCGATTTCACGAGCAGCTGTTTCTGGTGCATCAGAACCGTGGCAAAGGTTCTCTGTTGTAGAACGAGCATAGAGAGCACGGAGTGAGTTTGGTGCCTTCTCGACAGCGACTTCCTTCTTTGTCGGGCCAATGATTTCACGCCATTTAGCAATAGCGTTTGGACCAGCGAGTTCTAAAGCAACAATTGTGCCAGATGTCATGTAGCCGGCAAGATCAGCGAAGAAAGCCTTGCCAACGTGTTCAGCATAGAACTTGGAAGCGAAATCCATATCGAATCTCATTGTCTTCATCTGAACGATGTGAAGGCCTTCCTGTTCAATGCGGTCGATGACCTTACCCCAGTACTTTTCGTAACCTGGCTTGATCATAGCATAGGTATGTTGTTCCTCAGACATACGAATGAAAGTGAAGAGACCATTTACAGGTCACATTTCCGGTTCTCCATTCAATCTAAAATCTGATTTACAAACATGAAAATTTTATTTGTCTATTGCAGTATATCAAATGAATAAAATTTATGATCTTTACATTTGACAGTTCACTTCAAATTTGAGAATTTCTTCATCGAAAGTTAAAGATAGGTTTGTGTCTTTAACAAGAAACTATGCTAAGTTGTTTTACATGTAAAATTTCGTGTTAAAATGTTTCTAATGCATAAAAAGAGAGAATCAACAGAATAATCGTAAAATTTCAAATAATTATGATATGGCAATATGATCACAAATAGTAAACTTCGAGCGAGATTGTCAATAGATCTATAAAAATGAATTTAAGTAACAAAAAATAACAAATATTTTTATTGTGGAGACTTATGCTTGTGCGATCTCTTCTTTTCTTCTTTAATTTCATCGCCAGGCAAAGTTCTAACCACTGAGTTATGCCTATGCGTACGACGTTTCGTAGAAACTGGTTCAGGATCTAAAGTTTTTGGTGTTTTATCTTCTGAAGGAGCCATTACGCTTGACAGATCGTCGAAACAGTCAAGGAGACAAACCTTGAGCTTGACGACTCTCTCCGGCACTTCAACAACTAATACTCTTCTATTTAATGTCGGTTTCTTCATTGTTGGTTCAATAAACATGTCATCAACAACTTTCTCAATGTTATATTTACCTTTGCTGCTCTTTTTAGGGCTATTTCGCTTGGATTCACTATTCTTTGTTTTGTCACTTTTTGAAGATTTTTCACTTTTGTTTACATCCTTTGAATTTTCTGAAGAAGATTTTGATAATTGGTTGTATATCATTTCTCTGACTTTTTGGATGTTCTGAGGCTCATCTTTTTTAGGAGCTTCATTCTTCTTTGCTTTGCCCATTATCTCGTCTTGTTCGTCTTCATCTATCTCGACATATTCGTATTCGTAGTCATCTGACGAAGAATCTTCGGAATCTGAGTCTGAATCACTGGAAATTGCATCTCTTTTTAGTGGTGATGGCCTTTTACGATTTGGTGTTTCATGTTTCTTGCTTCCATTGCTTCTTGGACTGACTTTTTCCGCAAATGGATCAGCATTTCTTCGTAATGCGACTCTTGGAGAGGCAGGATTGAGATGCAAGACCTTAGGAATAGGCTTGAAGTCTTTAGGAACTTCTACAAGAGGTCGTGGTTCCTTTGTTGACTCTTGAACAGTGAGAGGACCACTTCCAGAAGAAATTTCGACAAATGGTCGGCCAGGAGATGGCGGGAATGATATCTGTGTTTGTGGTGGTGCTGGATCTGTTACTTCTATCTCTTCCAAAGCGAATTCTTCGTCATCAGATTGAATTTGTCTTAATGCGGGTTTTCTTTGTGGTGGCTGCTCTTTGGGTTGTTCCTTTGGCTTTTGTTGTTGACTTTGTGGCTTCTGTTGGGCTTTCTTTGATGTGTAATCGATCTTTTCCAAAGTTCTAAATAATTTTTCCATTTTTGGTATGTCATCACCACGCCAGAGCTCTCGAACCGAGAACTGTGGTACAAATGACTTGTTTTGGTCGATGACATTCGCTTTACTTTGGAGAGATGAAATAAAAGATTGATCAATTTTGATTCTATCGAACATAAAAGCTGATTCATCCACTCTATCTCCTGATGTCTCGGACTCTGTATCTATTTCTTCACCTTTTGTTGCAATTAAAAGGGAAGATCTGAAAGATTTCATAGCTAATGAACTTTCTTTTTGGAAACAGTGGCCAACAATCTGTTTAACGTTTTCTATTAATATTCTGTCATGGCTTTCCGCTATAATTGAAGCCAACATCTTAGATGCTGCGATCATAACAAAATTATTATAACTTTTTGAGGATAAAAGACGATATAAGAACAGTTCTATTGATTTATATCCTATATTGACTTCAAAAGCAGTGATATATAATAAAGAATACTGTAATAAAATATCAGATGACTTAAAACAGTTCACAATTGATACGGCGGCAAGGCCAAGAACTTGATTTGGATTAAGAGTGAGGCCAAGCTTGAAAACCATCGCTCTTTCGTGGTCATCAGACGAATCTTGTAAAAGTAAGGGTAAACCAGTATTAACTGCATTGAAAATATCTGTAGAGTCATCGATAAATTCATTAAAGTAGGCGCAAAGTAATTCTAAGCATTTGCTGCGGTGAATTGGTTGAAGTCGTAAAGGTTTTTTGTTGTAACAAGGACTACTGACAACAGTATTAGGAACTTTGCATCCTGGTCCGTGCTCATCCATCAAAGATAAATATAAAATCCATACAAAGATTTTCCCTGAATTTTGGGTTTCGCTGTCTGTAACGAACCTATTTAGTAAGTGGAAGATTCCTGGAATATGTGATGCCTTTATTAATCTGTTATAATTGTTTGATGTGCTTGATAAAATGTTATAAGTATCTCTTGGCCAATTTTCAAACATTTTTAATACAATACTAGCAACAGCGCCTGTAACATATCTATGGATCTCATTTTCACACGCTAATACCGATAGCAGAGAGTCAACAAGATTTCCTGATTCAATAATTGTATGAATTATAGTTGTATTAGGAGAAATGTGTAATCCGAGGATTTTCCTTACGAACTGGAAGTTGTTTGACTTTTTTAATATGTTGAACATCTCTTTGATTGTATTTGGCTGTGTTAAAAAGCTAACAAGCTTTGGAGAGTTCATTCTATAAAGTCCTTGAATATCATCACATTTCAACAGCTCTTCAACAGTTACTTTTGGATCTTCGAGGAGAGTATCTATTTTAGTTTTCACTCCCCACATTTTTTTTTGTCAACGAATATGGCGATGTAAGGAATTTATTATTACACTTTTATGAATTTTAACATATAAACGTCTTAAATACCTTCTTTTCCAACTATTATATTCCGAGAAATCTTTCATTTTGTCGGAATGGTTGCCTATTTTTTGATGTGCATGCATTTCACATATCATCAAGTTGAGGCAATGACATTCAAATAAACAGTTATGAATTTTAAGCATAAAATATGATTTTCAAGATTAAAATAATGCTAATATTCGAAGAATAATCTTAAAATTGTTGTAAACAGAAATTCATCAAAAGTGACACCTCAGAAAAGCTAAAATATTGAATTTTTGGAACTTTTGATAGAGCACGTTTTTAAATATTAATTAAAGTAAATGTATATTTTGTAAAGATTCTTTTTAATAAAAAAATAAAATTTTGAAGAAGAACACAAAATCTTCTGAAAAATAATATCACATAAACTCATATTATTTTCTAATATATAACTATTTTATATAAAAATCAAATTCAATGATCTTAAAAGCGAATGATAAACATCAAAATTTACGAATATAATGAGTGGGAATATAATGCTTATCTATCATAAAACCATATGAAATATCAATTTTTGCTTTACGCCTAATTTTTGACGACAATTAGCAAAAAATGTTAAATGTTAACACTCAGTCCATTTGAATATGAAAAATAAAATTGACTTTGATTAAATGTTTTTATTTATCATGCAATTCTTCTTGCGACCAAAGATTTGAATAAAATTTCAAAAAATAAGATAGCTTAAAAAATAATATACGGTAGTGTTTACTAATAGATGAATAGTATATAAATTCTATTAAAATGGATTTGATCCAAAAAATATATAAAATTTGATCATAAATAAAATCGTTTTAAATTACTTCTTCATTTAAATTATAACAATTATTTTTGGTTTTATATTTTTTTGGATCAAATCCATTTTAATAGAATTTATATACTATTCATCTATTAGTAAACACTACCGTATATTATTTTTTAAGCTATCTTATTTTTTGAAATTTTATTCAAATCTTTGGTCGCAAGAAGAATTGCATGATAAATAAAAACATTTAATCAAAGTCAATTTTATTTTTCATATTCAAATGGACTGAGTGTTAACATTTAACATTTTTGCTAATTGTCGTCAAAAATTAGGCGTAAAGCAAAAATTGATATTTCATATGGTTTTATGATAGATAAGCATTATATTCCCACTCATTATATTCGTAAATTTTGATGTTTATCATTCGCTTTTAAGATCATTGAATTTGATTTTTATATAAAATAGTTATATATTAGAAAATAATATGAGTTTATGTGATATTATTTTTCAGAAGATTTCATTCTATATGCCTATGAAAAGTACTCTCAAAACTAACTTTTTCCTAATTATAATTAAATCTAGAATATTGTATTATGCTTAGTATTATTTCATTTTTCTCATTCAATTTAGAATTTACAAATGTCAAAAAATTGAGAGCTGTCACTTTTGATGAATTTCTGTTTATTACACATTAAGGGTGCCCTATAGACGATACACCACCCTCAGAAAAGCACTTTTAAGGCTATTATATTGAGAACTAGAATCTGGATAATCCATTCATTCGAGTTCTAATAAGGTTAATTTTGTGATGTTTACATTATCGTTATAGGGCACCCTTAAGAGAAAAACAATTCTTCTTCAATCTATTGGCGCATTTATTTCTACACGCCAATAAGGAAGGGAAAATTATAAGACACCATGGTGTCTTCAAAACGCTAATTTTTGATATTTTTAACAACCCTAACAATAACTTTTATTGTGATAACAACAAAGCAATTTATTCATATGATAAAACCAAGATTTATTATTGCTGTTCAAATTGTGGAGAAAGTTACACAGTTTTACCTAGTACAACAACAATATTAGATGGAGCTTTTATAAATTCTAAACTTAAAAATAGAAATTTTCCGGGGTGGTGCCATGTGAGGTGAAATTTATCATACACCGATTGGACCTTTTGCTTTCCCGAAAACATAGAATTTATATTGGGGGCCAAATATATGTGCATATATCTATACTAATCAAGCCATATTTACTCATATAGAATTGAGGAATAATGTGTTTTATATAAGATATGAATTTCAAAAATTTTGTTTTATTTCATTTTGAATACAATGAGTTATCTATATATATATTCTATATTGTGTTTGTAAACTCATTTTGGTCACATATCCATTTTTTAATCTGCATCTTATTTGAGATTTCAGATTTTTATCGACAATCATATATGATCACATCGGCATTTGGAGATACTTATATTGTATCTCCAAATATCGATGTGATCATTGTATTTAATTGTATATTGACCAAGAGATTCGGATGCAGAATATTCAAAGTAGATAGTTTTTCCATTCTGTACACATAGGTGCAGGGTGTATCACTGGCACCCTGCATCTATATGTGCAGAATGGGAAAAGCTTGCACTTTTACCTTTCGATGCGAATGTTGCAAACACTTTTCCCATTCTGCGCATATATATGCAGGGTCTATCACTGGCACCCTGCACCTATATGTGCAGAATGGGAAAAGCTTGCACTTTTACCTTTCGATGCGAATGTTGCAAACACTTTTCCCATTCTGCGCATATATATGCAGGGTCTATCACTGGCACCCTGCACCTATATGTGCAGAATGGGAAAAGCTTGCACTTTTACCTTTCGATGCGAATGTTGCAAACACTTTTCCCATTCTGCGCATATATATGCAGGGTCTATCACTGGCACCCTGCACCTATATGTGCAGAATGGGAAAAGCTTGCACTTTTACCTTTCGATGCGAATGTTGCAAACACTTTTCCCATTCTGCGCATATATATGCAGGGTCTATCACTGGCACCCTGCACCTATATGTGCAGAATGGGAAAAGCTTGCACTTTTACCTTTCGATGCGAATGTTGCAAACACTTTTCCCATTCTGCGCATATATATGCAGGGTGTATCACTGGCACCCTGCATCTATATGTGCAGAATGGGAAAAGCTTGCACTTTTACCTTTCGATGCGAATGTTGCAAACACTTTTCCCATTCTGCGCATATATATGCAGGGTCTATCACTGGCACCCTGCACCTATATGTGCAGAATGGGAAAAGCTTGCACTTTTACCTTTCGATGCGAATGTTGCAAACACTTTTCCCATTCTGCGCATATATATGCAGGGTCTATCACTGGCACCCTGCACCTATATGTGCAGAATGGGAAAAGCTTGCACTTTTACCTTTCGATGCGAATGTTGCAAACACTTTTCCCATTCTGCGCATATATATGCAGGGTCTATCACTGGCACCCTGCACCTATATGTGCAGAATGGGAAAAGCTTGCACTTTTACCTTTCGATGCGAATGTTGCAAACACTTTTCCCATTCTGCGCATATATATGCAGGGTCTATCACTGGCACCCTGCACCTATATGTGCAGAATGGGAAAAGCTTGCACTTTTACCTTTCGATGCGAATGTTGCAAACACTTTTCCCATTCTGCGCATATATATGCAGGGTCTATCACTGGCACCCTGCACCTATATGTGCAGAATGGGAAAAGCTTGCACTTTTACCTTTCGATGCGAATGTTGCAAACACTTTTCCCATTCTGCGCATATATATGCAGGGTCTATCACTGGCACCCTGCACCTATATGTGCAGAATGGGAAAAGCTTGCACTTTTACCTTTCGATGCGAATGTTGCAAACACTTTTCCCATTCTGCGCATATATATGCAGGGTCTATCACTGGCACCCTGCACCTATATGTGCAGAATGGGAAAAGCTTGCACTTTTACCTTTCGATGCGAATGTTGCAAACACTTTTCCCATTCTGCGCATATATATGCAGGGTGTATCACTGGCACCCTGCATCTATATGTGCAGAATGGGAAAAGCTTGCACTTTTACCTTTCGATGCGAATGTTGCAAACACTTTTCCCATTCTGCGCATATATATGCAGGGTCTATCACTGGCACCCTGCACCTATATGTGCAGAATGGGAAAAGCTTGCACTTTTACCTTTCGATGCGAATGTTGCAAACACTTTTCCCATTCTGCGCATATATATGCAGGGTCTATCACTGGCACCCTGCACCTATATGTGCAGAATGGGAAAAGCTTGCACTTTTACCTTTCGATGCGAATGTTGCAAACACTTTTCCCATTCTGCGCATATATATGCAGGGTCTATCACTGGCACCCTGCACCTATATGTGCAGAATGGGAAAAGCTTGCACTTTTACCTTTCGATGCGAATGTTGCAAACACTTTTCCCATTCTGCGCATATATATGCAGGGTCTATCACTGGCACCCTGCACCTATATGTGCAGAATGGGAAAAGCTTGCACTTTTACCTTTCGATGCGAATGTTGCAAACACTTTTCCCATTCTGCGCATATATATGCAGGGTCTATCACTGGCACCCTGCACCTATATGTGCAGAATGGGAAAAGCTTGCACTTTTACCTTTCGATGCGAATGTTGCAAACACTTTTCCCATTCTGCGCATATATATGCAGGGTCTATCACTGGCACCCTGCACCTATATGTGCAGAATGGGAAAAGCTTGCACTTTTACCTTTCGATGCGAATGTTGCAAACACTTTTCCCATTCTGCGCATATATATGCAGGGTCTATCACTGGCACCCTGCACCTATATGTGCAGAATGGGAAAAGCTTGCACTTTTTCACTTGAATGTGATTCATTGAATTTCAATTCGAGAAAGGAGTTTACAAATGCAGGGTATTGTTCCTTTACCCTGCATTCGTAAACTCCTTTCTCGAATAGCTTGCACTTTTTTCAAAGAATGTTAAACATCGAATTTCAATTCGAGAAAGGAGTTTACAAATGCAGGGTAAAGGGACAATACCCTGCATTTGTTAACTCCTTTCTTGTAAAACCTTCCTCCAAAAAAATATAAAGATCACATTCTTCTTAAAACTCTCAAAATCTCATTATTTCAATCTTATAATCATAAATAAACATACTCTTTCTATCTAATATTTCTCTATTCCTTAATTTTCTTATGAAATTTGTTATTTTTTATTTAATTTTTAAAATTTTCAAATTTTTTTGGATAATTTTATTTAATTTTATGATAATTTATTCTATTCAATATATACATGGCACGGCGGGCGCAAAAAGTGACAAAATAGAATACCTATGGTGGCAAGACAAAGGAAACATTTTTGTAAGGCAAACATTATATCAAATACCTTTACTTTGTAATAAGAAATATAATTATAACGAAATTACAAATAAATATTGTTTAATATAATTAATAGCAAAATTCTTTTTTATTATTTCCCTTAAGACCTTACTTATTAAGTATACGTATAACAAGCTTGTACTGCATGTATTAGTTAATAGAACAAAAGAAAATGAGCTCAAATGAAAAAAAATTTCATGCTATTTTGGAAATATGCATATTCGAAGTATGAGAGTTGTAAACACTGAGAATTTTAAGCTTTGGTTGATGATAGTCTTTAATTTTTCTTGAAGTAGTAAATTATTTGATATGAAAATTTAATGGCCAGCATAATCAATCGTGCGTTTCGTTTCTTGATTGAGAAACGATGATTGTGTGCTAATGAATTATTGCGTCTGACAGGTTATGATTATGGATACCTGAAATTAAGCTTTTATGGGAAACATCACCGAGCGCCATTTGGCGCCCCTAATGCTGTTTCTATCGGTATGATTAAGGAGCTTTCTTATGCACTTTCATCACTTGAACTTGAACGCTACAAGATATATGCCCCCCTCCCAATGGGAGGTGGGAGCAAAAATTGAAATGTTTACATTGATTTTTGAATACTTTACAAGCACTCCTCCCAGTGGGCGCGGGCGCAAGTGATCGGGTCAAAAAAAATCATAAAAATATTCAAAATTGCGATTTTAATAGATGTTTAAGAAGTAAATTTATTAATAACGATATTTCATAGTACAAAATGTGTTCAATCTCTTCGTAAATCATTCAAAAAAATCAAAAGAATTTCCAAAATTCAATTTTTTTAGTAAAATATACATCTTTTTCTATCGTCTCCTCCCCACCAGTGGGAGCCACCGGAGGCGCGGGCGGCGCCGCTGGCGCCAAAAAAGTAGCGCCCATCGTGCCATGTATATTCTATTCTCATTATATAATAATATTGTTCATTTTTATTTTTTTAATTTTTCAATGCATATGATAATTTTTAATTCAATTTTTAAACGAATGTTTTGATGGGATGAGCTTACTGAGCATAGGCTCATCCCATCAAAACATTCCCTTAAAAACTTTGGCCTTCATCGAGGCCAGAGTTTACAATTCATCAGCTCAGGGCCAAGTTCCTCGACGGTCGTCCTCATTAGGCCCGATCCGAGAGGAACTTGGCTCTTCATTAAAATCACAAGCTCTGGCCATTGCTAAGGCCAGAGCTTCGCAAACCATCCTCGGGGCCGGTTTCCTCAAAAACCGCCCTGATTCGGGGCGGCCGGAGAGGAAACCAGCCCCGAAAGAGTTCCCATACGAAGCTCTGGCCAAAGCAAAGGCCAGAGCCTGCAAATACAATCCTCAGGGCCGAGTTTTGCGATGATCGTCGATCATGTCGACTGTCTCGCAAGAACTCGGCCCTGAAAGACATACAAATACAGGCTCTGGCCCTAGCAAAGGCCAGGGCTTCGCTTACTGTCCTCAGGGCCGGCTTTCTCAAATGCCGTCCTGATCTAGGGCGGCAGGAGAGGAATCCGGCCCTGGGAACATCCAAATACGAAGCTCTGGCCCAAGCAAAGGCCAGAGCCTGCAAATACAATCCTCAGGGCCGATTTTGAGGGAGATCGTCCACATCATTGACGATCTCCTCTCATTTCGGCCCTGAAAGAAAGAAATACACAGGCTCTGGCCCTAGCAAAGGCCAGGGCTTCGCTTACTGTCCTCAGGGCCGGCTTTCTCAAATGCCGTCCTGATCTAGGGCGGCAGGAGAGGAATCCGGCCCTGGGAACATCCAAATACGAAGCTCTGGCCCAAGCAAAGGCCAGAGCCTGCAAAATACTCAATGTTCAACAATTACAAATCTCATGTCACCCAGAAAGCTATGAAGGAAGCCCTTTCTCTAGGTTAGGACTTCCTTCATAGCTTTCTGGTACTGAGTGGAGTGGTTTTGGCTTCCATTGCCGCTCACTCCAGTAAGATCACGAGATTGTACAAAAGCCACGGCAAGTGCATTCCAACACCATAAATACACTTGCCGTGGAATACGGTTGCGAGTGCCTGCTGCTTCAACCGAGATTTGCAGCAGACACTCGCAATGATAACTAAAATTCATCATAAAGCTGGGAAATGGGCCTTTTCTCAAGGTCAAAGCCCATTTCTCAGCTTTATGATATTGAAACGAACATTTTGAGAGGTTATTACTGTTTTTCCCGGAATCATCTTGAGATTCCGGGAAAGTCATAGCAAGTGTAATCTATTAGCATAGATACACTTGCTATGACACATATATGCCAGCATCTGCTGCTTACCCCCAAATAAGTAGCAGATGCTCGGCATCACATCTTGAGATCCTTATTATCTGCGTATTTTTCATTTTAATATATATAAATGTGTGTGTCTAACACAAGTCTATATGCGCCATGTAAAATATACACTAATACACACATATTGATCATAATTAATAAGATATCAAACTATAAAAACTGAGATATTACTATAAACTATATGTATTATTATTCTATAGGTACCATACTATAAGGTCATATGAATATTATTGAAATTAGACACACTTTATATAATTTTATAATGTGAATAACTTGGGTCATAATTTTTTTTACGTAATTCCTACACGAAATGATCGGCATTACCCTAGTCTATCTGCGTGCAAAATACCAAGGAACAAATCAAATACTCACCATATCTTTTTTTAAAAAAGGTCCAATCGGTGTATGGTGATTTTCACCTCACATGGCACAACCCCAAATCTTCCGGATGGTATCACATCGTTTGGATATTATTCATTTTCAGGAAGTACAATTCAAAATATTACTTTGCCAAAAAGTCTTATTTCCATTCCTGATTAGTAGTATATGTTGAAGGGTTGTGTGACTTTTTTTGTAAACGTAAGAATTCTCACATAATTGAACGATTTTGTATCATTTTTTTTAACATATGAAGTAAAAAATGTATGATTCTTACGGTTTTTATTCTTACGTTTTTGAATAAATCAAGATTTAAAAAATTGACTTCTTACGTAAAATTAAAACTAAGTTAAATTTGTTTTTTCTTACGTTTTTTAATTCGTAAGAAAGCGCGACATTATTAAATAAATTAGTAATAAATATTATATACTAAATCATTAAAAAATTAACATTAATTTTAAAATATATTTATTTTCATGAATGAAAGATTCACTACCATAATGAAATAAAAAAAATAAACTTTAAAAATTCATGTCTTACATTTTTGAATAATTTATTTTTAATTCGTATGAAATGAGCGTCAAAACTAACGACGTTAAAAAATTGGGATTCACAAATGAGGAAATAAAGGATATATTAGATGAGGCGGGTTATGAGGTTGATAAATATTATTTAAGAAATTGTCAAAAATTCGCGGAGTTTTTAAATGAGTTTGATTATGATGGAAAAATGAATAAAGATGATGTTATAAATTTCTTATATCCCACATCTAAAGAAGAAAAACCTAAAGAACCTGATGTTTTCCCTGAATATTATGAAGAACAAATTAAAGATGATGATGAATACGATGAAATTGAAAGACTGAAAAAAATAAGAGATGAAATAGATGAAAAAATTAAGGAATTAAGAGAAGTTGAAAAATATAATGAAAATGAAGTAGAGGGTTTAATGAATATCCCATCTTCAGAATCAGAAGTTCAGAAATCTCATGAAGAAAGATATAAAAATTATGTCTCAGAATCAACACAAAATTTATTAGATGGTGAAATAGACGAAACACTTTCAGAAGAAGGTACTAAATTTATTTGTAAACATAAGTTACAATTTATTGATAATGAAGAATACCCTTGTATCCTACTTTCACCACCTTTAGATTCCGAAAAATTCAAAAAAGCTCTTAAAAACGTGACATATGCAACTAATACGATTAAGAAAGAAGATCATGATATTTACACAAATTATTATTTAAATAAATGCACGGGTGTTGATAAAGTTTTTGATTTATTAGATAAAATATCAAAAGAAACCATTGGAACATATAAAATTTTGTGTGATTGTGGTTTCATTATTGAAGATACCAATAATGTTTCATATGAAAGAACAGCACCGAAGGAAGACGAAGTGGAAAGGTCTATACCATTCGTTATTAAGAATATAAAAGATATGAAAACTTATAAACATTATATTTATTCATTTATTTCAGAAAAAATGGAAGCAACCCATAAAACATCTTCTCATCATTTTATAGCTATTCATACATTCCTTTTCAAAGTTGTGAAATTAAATAAGACAGGAATTAGATTTAATGTATCAGGGTACGCATTCTTGAGTAAATTAAAATGTATTCGTCACGTCGCAGATGATAAAAATTTATGTGTTCTTAATTCATTTTATGGGCTTTAAAAAATAAACTTTATTTTTATTTATTTTTTATTCTTACATAAATGAACAAAAACGGAACCGCTAAAATGAATGATAATCAAATTAGAGCAGAAGGTAGAAGGTTATTTAAACGCTTCTATAACATTCCTGATGGTGTTAATCCTAAAACTCGTAGAAGTTATTTAAATGAAGCAATAGATTCATATGAAGGGTTTGACATTTCATCAGAAAGTGAGAGATTAGCGAGAATGTTAAATGTTAATATTGATTTCTATTATTGTGATCCTCAACCAGAAGACGTGGACATAAATAAGGTAGACTTTCCATTAGTGGAATCAATAATGATAGATCCAGAATTTGAAACAATAAATATTTTATTAACACAGAGTCCAAATGGAAAACTTCACGCTGACAGAATAACAGACGTTGAAGCACTCACCGGCTATAGAGTTTGTCCATATTGTAAAGAAGAAGTTTATTCTATCCGTGATGATCCAGAAAGGAAAAACCAAAGAAGATTTTTAAAGCATTGTGAGAAATGTAAAGAAAATAATGGAAGATTAATTCAAGACGTTCAGTTGCAAAAGACACAGCAACCATATGCACCACATATTACGAAACAGAAGATATATCAGTGGTTATTAGCTCATAATTTGCAGGAATATTATCAACCGACAAGATATTATATTACTTTTGACTTCGAAACATTAGAGACTAAAGAAGAATTACAACTTTCTGAGTGTGCAACTTTGAATGCTTACTTAAAACCATTCATGGTATCATCAACGGTTAAATTAAATGAAAAAACATATACGCGGAATTTTTGCTTAACTTCGAGTGATTCTTTTATTTCTGATTGGATTGAGTTTTTATTTTCAACCTGTTCATTAGTTGTTGAATCAAATATGAGTCAATACAATGAATTATTGAAGTCGCAAACATTAAATGAAAAACAGAAGGAAGCATTTAAAGAACTTCTAGATGAGGAATTCAATAAAGTGAATATCATAGGTTTTAATTCGGGAAAGTTTGATTTAAATTTAATTCTTCGTGATTTAAACACTGCAAAATGGAAAATAAAATCAATGCTGGGTTCATCTTCACAATTTAAGCAAATCATTGTAAAGAAAACAAACACTCCATATGAATTAAGATTTATTGACATCAGAAATTATATAGCGGGTGGGACATTAGACCAATTCACTCAAGATTTCGGAAACAATAAATCACGTGTTAAATCCTTTTTCCCTTATCAATTTATCACATGGGAAAATTACGAAGAAGAATTATATAAAGTGGAACCATTCACTCAAGATTCATTTTATTCAGCATTAACTCAAGAAACTATATCAGATAGTGATTATCAAATATATCTCAATGATGCTAAAAATTTTGAGAATAGATTAGAATATTTTATTCATTATTGCAATAAAGATGTTGAAATTATGATTGACCCAATCGATAAAATTATTGAAGAAACATTTGTTTATAAAATTGATATGCTTCATAATCTTTCTTTATCATCGAATGCATCAATGATTCGTTACGCGTTAGCATATAAGAACTTCAATCCTAACGAAACATATCCAGAAGAAGAAAATGTGGAATCAAGTTTTGAATTAACAAAAAAGTATTGGAAATATAAAATTGATTCATATAAGAAACAAGATGAAAAGGCGAAAAGAGATACCAAAAACAATGTTTCAATGGATGACTATCAATACTATCACGATTTAATCCTTTCATCTAAATGCAAAATGTGTGGTAAAGCGTTTACATATGTAAATAAACCAACATTGGATAGAATCGATAATGAAAAACCACATACCAAAGAAAATTGTCAGTTAATGTGTTGTTATTGCAATGTCGTAAAATCAAATAAAGATGAAGATGTTCAACGTTTAAGAATCAATTTAAGAAATTATGCATTAAAAAATAATTTACCAATGACTTTAGATTCAGTTGAAGCTTATCACATTCTCCGTAATGGAATTACTGGTGGTTTATCAAATGTTCAACATAGAGTAAATCTTAAAGGAATCACGCACATTAATAAACTTTCATATAGTCCAGAAACTAAAACTGTATCAAATGAGGACACCACCAACATCATGACTCATTTCGTTGGAGTTGACTTTAATTCATTATATCCTTCATCATTTTCATCTAATCCTCATGATTTCATTCAATATACTGACCATAAAATGTATATGCCGGGAAGATTGAATGGTGTTATCATTTGTGATACAGCAACAAAGAAAGCAAAAGCACTGGGAATAATTAAGAAGAAAAATACTTTATTCGTGGCTGAAGTAAAGGGTCACATTGATGAAAAATACATTAATGATTACATAAACTTTTTACCGATAATAAGAAACTTAGATATTATCACAGATGAAAAAACAATTGGCAGTTTTATGTATAATTACATGAAATCAAACAATCTACCAGTTGACCAGAAACAGAGAAAATTAACTCAGTTAGCATCAACACACAACCAATATCAACCATTTTCTTCTTATTATCTTTGGTATCTAATAGACAGATTTCATTTTATCATCGATGATATTCAATCAATTTTAACATTTACGAAAAACACTTGTTTTAATGAATTTGCGAACAAATTTATGAACGAAAGACAAAAGGCTGAATTAGAAGGAAATAAAGGAAAAAGTTTATTTTGCAAGATTTCGCTTAATGGATCATATGGTTACGATGCAATGAATACACAAAATTACGCAAAGACTAAAATAATGAATGCACAGAAGTCACGCGTTGCATGTATGTCAAATAAGTTTAAAAACATAAGAGAAATAGGTGAAGATACATATCAAGTGATGCTTAAAGATAGATTTTATAGATGTGATACATGTTTACAAGAGGCATTCTTCACTTTAGATAATGCTAAATACTGGTATTTGGTTTTCATTTATGATTTTATGTATAAATGCATGGATGTTAATCGTTTTCATTTCATTGAAGGTGATACTGATTCATCTTATTGGGCAATCGCTGGCGACCCAAATCTTCCTAACACTCAAGCATTTCAAGCAATTGTTACAGATAAACAATTTTATGATAAAAACATTTTCAAATTCGCACCATTTGATTTCTTCTGTTTTGATGAGAAATTTAAACCTAAATTAAAGAATAAAGCTGAAGAAAAAGCACATGAGAAGAAGTTATTGGGTTTAGCAATTGAGAAACAAGGTGATAACATGGTTGCTTTATGTCCTAAGTGTTATACATCATTCAACGGTTCAATTGATGGAAGTGATTTTAAAAAGATTGCACAAAAAATGAAGGGTGTTAGTTTAAGGCAAAATAAACAATTAACACCTAAAAATTATTTGGATATAATAAATGATAAAGTTATTTTCGATGGTCAGAATATTAATTTACAACTTAAAAACGGGTCAATGACTCGCTTAACAATTGGTAAGACTGCATTAACAGGAGCACACACTAAGGCTGTATGTTGTGAAAATGGATGTTGTATGCCATTTATTTAATAAAATGCCACAGAAGAGACAAAAGGAACCGTTAATGATGGCTTTGATTCTTGATCAAAGAGGTGGGCACCCTTAAAACATTGATTTTATTTTTATATAAATGGATAACGTACATTTAAAAAATTTAATTGATGATTTAGTACTTAATCAAAATTTTCTTAATTATTACGATTTAAAAGCATATCTCCAAAAATATAATAATAATATAACGGGTGATGATATGGATTATTATTATCCATATTATAAAAATGAAATTTTGAAATATCATGATAAAATAATTTCTAAAATTAAAGACAAAATTAAAAATAATGAATATATAAAGGGAAAAACTAAATCACAACTTAAACAATTGAAAGATTTCAAAAATAAAGTATTAACAGAAGAAGATATTGATGAATTATATAAATTATATAATCCTGAGCCGCAAAAACCAAAGGAACAAAACACCCAGGTCCTTCAGACCATAAATGATGCACAAGCTTTAATTTATGATTCATTAGTTAAACCATATTCAGCCCGACTTTTAAATGAAGATCAACTTTTGGATTTCATCCTTCAACATAAACTCGAAGCGGGAAAGTATATCAAACCTTTATATACAGCATATTTAAAACAAATGAATAGAATACATCCAGAATTAATGAAGGAAGGAATGAAATCCAAAATCAAAGCAGATAAAATTAAACCACTTACAACACCAAAACCTCCAACAATAGTACCTCCTCCTCCTTCAGTTAATCCTTCATCATTCACTTTATTATATCCATTTCAAACATTTAAGAAGCAAAAAGATTTTAAAAAGGATTTCAAGATATTAAATAAACCAATTGACCCGAAAATTCAACCATTAAAGGAAAAATTTAGTCGACCTTCATTTGCTCCATATCCATATTCATACGAAATTGATCATCTGGAATATTCAAAAGGAAACGTTACTTATTTATTTGCCATTAACATTAACACTAGATATTTATATTGCATTCCGGTGAAAGGGAAAACAGAACAGGAAACAAGAAGAGCTATTCAATACTTACTAGATCATGAAAGAGTAGATAATATCAGGGTGATGGTGATAAAGGATTTCAGGCAGCTATGACTCATTATTTCCCACAAATTAATTTTTTCTTCTCATCCTCTCCATATACGTTTCATAATAAAATAGTTGATGCGGTAATGAGAACTCTTAGAGATGCGTTAGGGGTTAACGGTCAGATATACTGGGATGGAAATCATGACTCCATCATACAACAGTTAGTATATTATTACAATAATACATGGCATAGAACTATAAACATGAAACCAGTGGAAATGAAAAATGATATTTCAAAAGAATGGGAATATATTAGAAAGCAAATGGAAAAGTTAAATGATGTTAAACGTGAACAAATTAATTCGGGGCTCATGAATTTTAAACAAGGAAATAAAGTTTTAATTCATCTCGATTATGGAAAAACTAATAAATCAATGACAAAAAGAAGACGAAGATTTGACACAATAGCTGAATTTGTTAGATATATTAACGGCAATGCATTAGTTGAAGTTGACAATAAATTAATAGAAATTCCGATTTATTTTATTACTCCATTATATTTAAATAATATTTAATTTTTTTTATTTCGTAAGAAATGAGTGACAATGAAGCAGTCAAGAGTCCAGACGATGAATATAAAAAGAAACTAAATAGAATTAAATCAAAAATATGCTATTACAAAAAGAAGCCACAATGCGGTGGGGTTGATGCCCATAAAACTAATGGAACTGAAAACGATAAAGAAATAATCGAAAAATTAGAAACTTACCGTTCAATCCTTAAACTGAGTGAAGCAAAAATAAAAGAATTTAATAGAATAAATAAATTGATTGGAAGAGATGAATTTAATAAAGATGAATTTTTAAACTCAATCCAAATTTAATTTTTATTCCTCTTTGACAACATCTCTCTTTCCATCATTACTGCATAACCGCATTTTCTCAGTTTTAGTGGTTTGTTATTTTTAACATGTTCTTGCATCATTTTTATCATTTCCTCCCTTGTTATGATTCGTGGTAAATTTTGAGCTTGTGGGGTATTCATTTATGATAAAAATAAAAATTTAAATTATGCCGTTCTAAAAGTTTGTGACAACATGACATTTAGACAACATCATGGGTTATTCAATAATTAATTATTTTTGAAGAACTGAAGGGGTCACCAGGTCACCAGGTCACCAGGTAATTTAACTTCTCTGAAAAAATGAGACAACATGACATTTAGACAACATCATGGGTTATTCAATAATTAATTATTTTTGAAGAACTGAAGGGGTCACCAGGTCACCAGGTCACCAGGTAATTTAACTTCTCTGAAAAAATGAGACAACATGACATTTAGACAACATCACAGGAGGAAGGCAAAAATAAATTCCAGTCATACTTTATAAAGCTTCATTCACAGGTATTTCATCGTCAGTAAATGATTCCTCATTATCGTTTGGTTCAATTTGTTTATATAATCCTTTCATTTCTTCTTTCAAAACATAATACCATGTTTGTTTACCATCTATTTTTCTTTGTTTCCTTTCACATTTATCCTTAATGCTCATTTGAAAGTTTTTGTCTTTCATGTCTGATGGTTTGCAGAATAGAGCATTTTTACACGTCATACCTGCACATAATTCATCATAATGTGTATTTATCCATTCATCTAAAGGATTTGTTGATAATTCTATTAAATCTTGTTTGGCTTCAGTCATCGGTATGATTCGTACATTAAATGATGAAAGGTCATATTGCATAAAATACGTCAGTAAATTATCATAAAATTCCTTAGTGCATGAATCCATTAAATTCTTGAAGTAATCAAATTGACCCTTGAATTTACCATTAACCCTTAAAACTACGTATCTTCTGTCTCCAACTTCAATTTTGGCAGGGTAGACGTTGTTAGTTACGAAAATGAAGTTTGCAACGTTCTGTGCTGTTCTTCTGGGTTGATTCTTTTCATTAATTCTAATCTCATTATCCGTAATAATTGATTTCAAAGCGTTGAAGTTTGCGAGTCTGTCTTCACCTACATTCTTGAGTTCATTAAGTACAAGAAACATTTTATTTTCAACAACTGAATTGAAATTACCCGTTAGCTCACTTATTTCAGTAATGTTTTTACATGAATAACCAGCGAGAAGTTCAGAAATAATGTCTGTAAATCTGTTTTTACCTGTTCCCTGAAGTCCTTTCAAAATAATTGCTGTTTCATTCTTGATTCCTGGATGTTGAATCATTGATGCAATCCAGCCGAGAAGGTATTTATACACTTCATCGTTATTATCACAAATGGCTTCTTTAATGAAATCCATAAACATCTCAATTTTTGAGTAATCAGGCTTTTCAAGAATGTTGTATTTATAACCCTGAAACGTTGAGAAAACATCTGGAGAATCAGATTTAAAGCAAACACCCTTAACGGTTAATGAAGACAATTGATTTAGTAGTACGTCCCATGCTGTTATGGTTTTACCTTCTTCTTTAAATAATTTAATCATTTTGAGTGACTCTTTCATGTTTGATTGAAGAACGAATGATATTTGATTCATTTTGTCGTGGATATTATAGTCCTTTTGAATGAAATATTTATTTCCATAATCTACAAAACGGATTACACGTGATAAATCCTCAATTACTTCAGAACTGTTTTTATACTGATGATTTTCAGCCTTGCGTCTAATATCTGTTATCAAAAACGAGTCATCAAGTTTGATATCAAATGTTATTTTTGGCTTACGTAATAAAGGTAAAACATATTCATCATAATATTCCTTTTGATAAAGTTTTAGAATCTTCACCAAAACAAATGGAGAAGTCATTAAATGTGCATATCTACCACGTGCTTTTTCAAAATTACTTTTTGCATTTTCTGTTAAACTGCAGAAGTTATAAACGTTATCGTATGCTTCATTAATTAAATGATTAGGTAACGAATTAATTGCTTGAAACAGTGTGAATAATGTTATTTCTTTTTCTAAATTCATGTTTCCACCGTCATTATGTACTTCAAAATCACAGATGCCATCAACTATGCTCTGGGCAAGTTTATCGTCAATGTTTACATCTTTGTTTTCATTCATGATATTCTTTATTTCTTCGTTCTTCTGTTCAACTCTTACCTTAATATTCAAATCATTTAATATATCGTTTACTGTTCTAGTTAATGTTGAATCATAACTTCCACGAATGAATGAGTATGTATTGATTGGTTCTGATGCATTCTTGCGAACTCTTGAATCAGCCATAACCACTAAAGAACGCTTTGAATCATCAATAGAAGTCATTATGTCAATATCATAATCATTGCAGGAATAACATTTAATCATTCTGTTCGAAACTGCATAGAAGAAATTAGTGTTGCAATAAATGTGAAGACCTCCTGAAGCGGTTTTAACGATAACATCTTTATCCGAAAGTTTTGATAAAATGTCTTTTCTAACTGTTTCTTTAAGTTCATCATTGTACGATTTATTGATATCAACATCTATAATCGTTAAATTTGAAATTTTATTTACTAATAAAGCTGTACCAGTTTTCCTTCCTCTTCCTCCATCATGTTTGAGGTAGTTATGTAAATCAATCTTGTTTTCACCAATTCTTTCGTTGAGGGTTTTAGTTTCTGCCACAACTAATTCCTCAGCTAATGAATCAATAACTTGTTCATCAGAAATGATAAAGTTGCTGTTGTTGTTTGTTGCTGTCATTTATATAGGAATAAAAAAATAAAAATAATTTTAAAACTAACTTTATTTTTGGGCTGCATCAAATTTTAAATGTGTCTAAATGTCATGTTGTCTCATTTTTTCAGAGAAGTTAAATTACCTGGTGACCTGTGACCTGGTTACCCTTAGTTCTTCAAAAATAAGTCATAAACTGCCTTCCTCCTGTGATGTTGTCAAAATGTCATGTTGTCTCATTTTTTCAGAGAAGTTAAATTACCTGGTGACCTGGTGACCTGGTTACCCCTTCAGTTCTTCAAAAATAAGTCATAACTGCCTTCCTCCTGTGATGTTGTCAAAATGTCATGTTGTCTCATTTTTTCAGAGAAGTTAAATTACCTGGTGACCTGGTGACCTGGTTACCCCTTCAGTTCTTCAAAAATAAGTCATAACTGCCTTCCTCCTGTGATGTTGTCAAAATGTCATGTTGTCTCATTTTTTCAGAGAAGTTAAATTACCTGGTGACCTGGTGACCTGGTTACCCCTTCAGTTCTTCAAAAATAAGTCATAACTGCCTTCCTCCTGTGATGTTGTCAAAATGTCATGTTGTCTCATTTTTTCAGAGAAGTTAAATTACCTGGTGACCTGGTGACCTGGTTACCCCTTCAGTTCTTCAAAAATAAGTCATAACTGCCTTCCTCCTGTGATGTTGTCAAAATGTCATGTTGTCTCATTTTTTCAGAGAAGTTAAATTACCTGGTGACCTGGTTACCCCTTCAGTTCTTCAAAAATAAGTCATAACTGCCTTCCTCCTGTGATGTTGTCAAAATGTCATGTTGTCTCATTTTTTCAGAGAAGTTAAATTACCTGGTGACCTGGTGACCTGGTTACCCCTTCAGTTCTTCAAAAATAAGTCATAACTGCCTTCCTCCTGTGATGTTGTCAAAATGTCATGTTGTCTCATTTTTTCAGAGAAGTTAAATTACCTGGTGACCTGGTGACCTGGTTACCCCTTCAGTTCTTCAAAAATAAGTCATAACTGCCTTCCTCCTGTGATGTTGTCAAAATGTCATGTTGTCTCATTTTTTCAGAGAAGTTAAATTACCTGGTGACCTGGTGACCTGGTTACCCCTTCAGTTCTTCAAAAATAAGTCATAACTGCCTTCCTCCTGTGATGTTGTCAAAATGTCATGTTGTCTCATTTTTTCAGAGAAGTTAAATTACCTGGTGACCTGGTGACCTGGTTACCCCTTCAGTTCTTCAAAAATAATTAATTATTGAATAACCTAAATCATTTACTCACAATATTTTTGTACAAAACGACCCCAAGCTTTTAACTTCTTTTCTGCAGTTCATCCATTACTTCATTACCTAATTAATTACAAACATAAAATATATTTAGTTCATTCGGTAAGCCCAGACCTTTGGGTCAAGCACATTCATTGAACTCTATACCATGCGAATACAGTCATAAATGGTGGCATGTAATCTTTACTTTGTCCCGTTGTTTGTGTATATCCTGAAACGAAATGTGTATGGTTTCCTTCTCCCTGAGTGTCATCCCAGTAACAATTTATAGCAAACTTAACGTCGTCTTTAACATCATATCCTTTACCTTTTGTCATTCCTGACCAATCCCAATATCTATGCTTATGCCAACCCGCTTGAGATGTACTTAAATCTATGTAGTGACTGTGTGCAGGTAAATTTTCACCTGAAATCGTTTTACTTCCTCCTGTTTCCTTTGAAGAGTTTGCACAATACAAAAACCTGTCAACTATTTGTTCCCATGCACCAACACCAAACATTACTTGAGGACCTCTTGCATCCATAGATGTATAAATAGAACCTACTGGGTTCATTAAATCAAACATATGAGATATTATAGGATTGTCTCTTTTGAACTTAAGATATAGTGTAACTATTTCAGGTTTCTTCTGGTTTGTGTCAGAATATTTTTATAATATAATCTTATGTTTTCAGGGTAGGTAAAATCTTGACTATAATATTTTTTCTGTCATCTGTATAATAATATACTATTCTCGTTTTTTCTATTGCATTATATCTTTTATATCTATAATAATCTAAATATAATGTTAGCTTTTGTTCATCTACATGTGGTGTTCTGTCGTCATCTCCATAGTCATAATAATATGGTGCTGGAGCTGGGTCAGCCAACGTCATACCTGCCATTTCATAAACTCGGAAATATTTCTTTTGTTCGTCTCCATATAAGTTTAAGTAGCAGTTGTTGTCTAATGGAACTTTAACTTGTGTACCATTATTCTTTATATAGCCTACATACATTTCATTGTTATTTTTCGGAATGAGTTTACACCGTATACCATTTTTTAAGGAGTGTACAAACTCCCATCTAAAATATTTATTTTCTTCATAGACAGAAACATCCCCAACAATAGTTTCAATATTTTTTGTTGTTCCTATCAAACTTTGGTATATTTCGTTAACATATGTTTTATCTGTTTTCTTATTTAACTCATCGTTAACATATGTTTTATCCGCTTTAAGGTCTAAACATCCTGAAACCCATCCTGTATCAGCTTTAGTTTTTAAAATCTTTGATGTCCATTCATGATACCATTCAACCCTTTCTTTAATTTCATTATCTTTTTCATCAACATAAACCAAATTTGCCTTCTTCATTAACTCACTATCCACATATTCCTTATCTGCCTCTTCATTATGTCATTTAGGAAACCTTCTATGAATTCCTCATTTAAATTAAATCTTCCAATCTTCAAAACTTTAGGAAATGCATTTAATGCGTAATATCTCTGTTCTTCTGGTGGAATTGATGTTATATCATCCGTTATACCTTTAATTTTTGAATTCATAAATAAAATTTCTTTTATATTTGATATCACTGCACCACCCTTGCAAACGAATTCGAAATGGTCATTTTTCAATACTATCTCCAAATCTCCATATTTCAACCTTTGCGTTTGTTCTGCCGTCTTTGAATTATATGCATATATGGCGTATGTAATGGTCTGAGGGACCTGGGTGCTTTGTGCCTTAAGTTGTTGTGGTTGCTGTTGTTTAATCATTTATTATGATTTAAAAATAAATATTTAATCTGTTATCTCATCAGCTATTTTTTCTATTTGAAATTGCCATAATATTTCATTCATGAATTCTAAATCACAATCAAATAGGTCAGTTATTCTAAATTTAATATTTGATAAATCTTTTGAATGAAGAATAAATGAATTCCCGGATAATTGAAACGGATATGATAAAGAAAATGTGTTTAAGTTGATGGATAAAATGTTTTGTATTGATGGGTAAGAGTTAGGGTCTAATGTTTGATGTGAAAATCTCATTGGGGTATTAACTTTATCACATTTGATTAAAATGAAATTGGAACCAGTGTCAGAATACAAAACATCCCCAACATCTTTTTCAAAATTTAATATCCCCAACAATGAACGAAGATGAGGAGTACAAAATTTAATTTTCAGCGGAAATTTAATAAGGTTATTTATTTCATCAAGTTCAAAAAGTTTATCGGGTTTTGATTTAAAATTTTCTTCATACCATACGATAAATGATTCATTTAAATAACTTAAAATCATGTTAATATCCCATTTCGCTATCACATTATTTATATACATATCATACGTTTTTTCAAG